GGGGGGGGGGGGGAATGACCACTTGCTGCCTTCTTTTGGGAAATTTAGTGTTTTATTTTCAAAGGATGGATGTCCATACTCTGCAGCTTCTCTGTTGTTGAAGAAGGTGATGACACAAACCCTTGCAGGACAGGCAGAGCTTGTGTAAGGATATGTTTTCTCCCAGCTCTGAGGAGTGAAACACGAGTGTGATTTTAGGGGGGATCACAGCCCAAGCCCAGCAGGATCAGCTGCCAGGGTCCCTGGTGGAACAGCACAGCAGATAAGGAAATTTTGTGAACCATTTATTGTTTAATCTGAGTCAGTGTTTTGTTCCGTGGAAACAGATTGTTCCTCCGGGCAATTTCAGGTTTTGACTGCTGGTCCTCCTTCTCCCTCCTCCCCTCCTCTCCCCTGTCTGGGATGAAAGAGGGGAGGTTTGAATGCACATTGAACAGTGGTCCTAAATCTGGCTTCACCCTGAGCGCTGCTCAGAAATTTACATTTTCATGCTGATGGAAGGATACATGTGAATCTCAATGATCTTTCAAAATTTTCTTTAAATAAAAGCAAAGCTGTTGCTCGCCATTCATCCCATTGTGCAGGGGCAGAGGACAGCCAAAATGTGGTACTTGATAAAGGGAGAACCTTGTGCAGACTTCCATTTTCATATAAATGCTGTATATTTTACATCCTCTTCTTCCCTGATCTGCAGTTTGACCACACCATTTTCTCAAAGTATAAATACAAGAAGTTTATACAGTAAAGTCTATTGTATTTTTTTACTATAGGAATATATATAATCATAGTACAGGTATTCATCTTAATCTTAGTATAGAAAACTTAGTGTAGAAATTAATATAACCTTATAAAGGAGATAGCATTTAACAAATGAAGATGAGGAGGATTAAAAGCACAAATATATCAAAGATGTTCTTGGGTTTTTTTTTTAACTCACAGAAAGCTTTAAGTAAGTTTTATATGTGCAACTTCTCCATAGAAAAAGGGGGAAATCAGGGATTGTTTGAGTAAGTCTTTGAACTGCGTATTCTGAAGAGTAAAAATAAAATGAAAGCAAATGTAACAATAAAGCAATCACAGCCCTCCCTTCAGGCAGAAATCCACCTTCTGTGTACATGCCCACCTTAAAAAAAAGCGTGGAATGCTCTGGTGTGGTGCTGGCAATGGCCTTGGAGGACATCAGGTGCAGGTGTCCTGCCCAGCTTGGCGAGGGATGGAGCTCCCAGCAAACGGCGTGTGTCTGCCCAAAACTGCCCTGGCTGCCTCAGGTGCTGGTCTGTGGCGTGGGAAAGCATCATCCTCGGGCAGCCCGGGGTTGGTGAACCCAGCTGTGGTCCCTTATCCATTCTGTGTTGATTTTGGGTGCCAGCTGCCCACCTGTGCCGGGGCAGAGCCAGCCTTGCACCCTTGGGAAGGCTGCGCCTGCCCGAGGCTGTGTGACGAGGGCTGCAGGCTACAGAGAATGTGGCATTAGGGCTCCCCTGCCACACCAAGGTGCTGGTGCTGCTGGTGCTGGTGCTGGTGCTGGTGCTGGTGCTGGGTGAGCCAGTGGAGCAGCCGGGACAGGGCAGGAGCGTCCGGGAGCCACCCACCAGGCACTGGGATTGCCTTCGCCACACATTCATTCACCCAAATAAGCAAACAAAATCAGAAGGAAGGGGAAGTATCTGTCAATTTAATAAGAGTTTTGTGATTTATTTCATGATCTAGAGGCAGACCAAAGACTGTGGTCAGCGAGAAATATTGTTGTAGATTTTTCTGTTTCTCTACTGCAGGATTTCACCTTGGTTGCAGAAGCAAAACTCTCCCTAGGTGTTTCAGTCTGAAGAATTTATTGTGTGTGAAAACAAAGCCTTATGCAATCTATTGTGAATTAGAATTAACTTTTAGATCACCAAACAGATTTCGTAAAGGGAGATTTTGTTGTAATATTTCATTCAGCATTAAAGCTCTTTTTTATTTTCTGAGTGAAGCACTTTTAGCTTCTTGTATTAGTAGTATTTGAATCATTGTATCATGGTTTTCCCCTGTGTAGCTGGGGATTTTGACAGTGAAGAAGAGAAACTTGGTTGGTTTGCCCTCAGGAAGGACATGCCTAGTGATTAACAGGAGTTAATTCGCTGGTAATTTTGATCTGTGACCATTCTGCATGTGCATTTCTGTGCAACATAGCACTTGCGGTGCTGACTGCCAAGGCAGAGCTTTGAATTACAAATACCTTTTTCTTTATGAATTAATTTCCTTAACAGGCATTTAAGCCATAAATAATGCAGTCAAATATGACAGTGTTTTTTTACTTTTAACAATCAGACCTCAACAGGCTTGATTGTCTCTCGAGTGTACCCACAACTCGCTCCTGCCATGGGCACGGATGCATCACTGTCCCATCCTCACTCCCTGTGGTCCCCAGCAATGCTGGGGTAACAGTGCAGGTGGCTGCTGGAGTCCTGGCTGTGGCAGTCACTTCGTGTGCCCCAGCTCAGGCTCAGACATCATTGACATCAGTGTTTTAACAGTGTTTTAAATGCATTATCAATGTCTCAGTGAGTAAGTGTTGAAAAATGAAAATACTTCAGGGTGTTGTTCAGGTGAGAACATGCAGTGTGAGCCCTGACTGTTGAATGAAGAGCAGCAATAAACAGGTGTGCTCTAAGGCACCTGAGTGACATACCTTGTGTCCTAATACTGTATCACACACTTCAGCCAAAATTACTGAGTTTTTCAGTAAAGCAACAGAATGACATAAAATTATAGATGATATCATTTTAATTTGTAGTCATCCACCTTCTAATGGAAATGAATAGTACAATCAAAACTGGAAAAATTTTTGCTGTCTGTAAATCATGATGATGATGTGATTTGTGTTAGTAACATGGATGCCTCAGATTCAGATGGAATAGGTCGTGATGGATCAGGATGGGACAGTAAAAGTTTGCAAACACTTTATTAGCAGGATTAATTTACACACAGGTTGTAATGCTTGCTGTAAAGCACAGGTGAGGTGAGTGCCTGTGCTGACATGGATCCTCCTGCAGCAGTGAGGAGCTGCTGTGGAGCACTGGAGCACAGCTGTGTGCGCACAGCCAGAGCACTGAGCCCTGTTCACAGCAGAATTTTTAACAGCTCTAGCTGCATCCCTATTCCTTGAGCTTATTGCCCTTTCATTTCCTTCTTGTTTTGTTTCACTCCTGCCAGCCCAAAGGCTGCATGTGAGAAGGTTACAGCATGACAGTCAGTAATTCAGTGTGTCCTCCTGATTTATTGCACATTACCAAACCCTGTTTGGAAATAGATTTGCTCAGCTACAGTCTGGGTGTCTGAGGTTATGCCTAGCCGTGTTGGCACGCAGCAGTCAGGATGCAGGGCTGCAGACACAGACGTGGTGAATTCCCAAGGAGAAGTGTGTGCTCTGCAGGAACTTATTGTTCCATGTGCTCCCCGGCTTGCAGCCTCTGGGCTGGAGCTGGGCATCCCCACGAACGCAGGCAGGGACAGCTCCAGTGGATGGAGTCAGGGCCCTTGGAGGCCATGCCTCTGGAGTAATTAAATCCCCACCTGAATCCAGGGGTCAGGACATGAATGTGGTGTCAGAAAAACTCCTCCCAGTAGGTGTACATGTGCTGACACTCAAGTGAGGCAGATTTGGTGCCACTGGGTCAGTAGCTTTCCTTTACCAAAGATGGAACTAGTTTCTCTGCTTTGGTATATCAAAATCTGTTAGCCATTTCAATAACTGCAGTAACCATTGTGTTGAATATATTATAGAAAGATATTCATATAAATTAAATATAATTAATTTTATTTCTGTTTTTCAGGAGAAACTGATGTGGACTGGTCCATCTCTCATAAAGACTTAGAGGTAAATACAGACAACCAAATTTTTCTATAATCCATTATTTTATTGCTTACTAACAACCAGAATAAACTCAATGGGATTGAAAAATCGCTCTGTTGTGTTTTTGTGGGACAGTTAGCAGTGTCCTCCCACAGGAGGAAGGAGTTCTTGAGTTGAGGCTGGCATAGAGGTAGGAAGGGACAGGGATGCCAAGAGCTGGAGTGCTCCCACAGACTGCAAGATGGACATTGGTTCTTCCTTCCTGGTCTCTTTGGAGCCCCAGATCTGTTTTGGGGCAGCTCTGGGAGCCAGCAGGGTGTGGAGCCTACCTGGGCTGGGCACAGGGGCAGCGTGAGGACACTGCAGCCTAGAGCTGCCAGGTGAGGTGCTGGAGCATCCAGGAGGAGCGAGCTTCAGCTGCTGTGTCCAGCTCACTCCCTTTTTCTTTCCAATGTCCAGTGCAGCTGATACAAGCGAGTGACACTAAGAAATTCTTGCCCCGAGGCAAGAATTATACCTCTCCTGTTCACTCATCCAAAATCTTATGTGTTTTTGTTTAAATTTGTCATGTTTACTAGGCAATGATGGTTGTAGATAGGATTTTCAATTCTGGCTGCCTACACATAAAGTATGTGTGAGGTCACTGAGAGAGAGAGACAGTTGTTTCCAGATTCTCTTTTCTTTTTTTTCTTTTTCCTTTTTATGTCTTTCTTTACAATTGCAAATTGCATATTTCATCCAGACTTGTATAGCATTGTACTTTGTCCAAGCAGTTTGCTTTAATGTGTGCAAGGGAGTATGTAACTTGCATTTGCAATTGATGTTCATTATATTTCTGCTCTGAAAAAAATTCCAGTTGGTCGTGACATAGCACAGTGAGTAAAAGTATTTTGGCTAATTGAGGGAAAGCTCCACAACTGCTGTTTAAAATAGTGAGAAAGAATGTCCTGAAGCGGAAGTTCAAATGAGAACTTTTCTTCCAGACAATGCAGGTTTCTCTGTAACAGAATTACCCATTCCAAACCTGGATGTGTAAATTGTACATGTGAAACATTAGATTTCTGCTGGATCACTGCCAGCAGTGACCTTTCTAATTCCCAGTTCCCAAAGCACAGAATCTCAAGTGGTAAATGCATTTCTCTCTCTGTTCCACCAGGCACAGATCTCCAACTATGCGGGCGTGAGGCACAGCGGCATGCGCTACTACTCAGCTGACAAAAACATTACTTGTAGGAACTGCGACAGACCAGGGCATTTGTCCAAGAACTGTCCCACTCCAAAGGTAAATGCAACACTTAAATCACTTGAACATTCAGCTGTTTTCTTAATATACCTTTGTGCTTGCTGTTAGAAGCATGATTTCAGTGGTTTATCATTTTTTTGGAAGCAGTGCTCTGAGGTGCAGGATAGCTTACACCAGATCAGTTTACTGTATAAAATTATTCCCCTGTTTGGCAATGTCATTGCTTTTATTGTTTTTATTAAAGAAAAATGTGCAGAATTACATCATATAGAATCATATTGAATGGTTTGTGTTGGAAGAGACGTTAAAGATTAACTTGTTCCACTCCCCTGCCATGGGCAGGAGCAACTTCCACTAAACATGTGGCTGTAAACTGAGGAAAAAAAAAAAAAAAAAATCAAGTGCCATAAGAAACATCTTTTTTTTTTAAATGGTAAAACAGTCAGTAAGTGTAAAATATTTTTCAATTGTACTTTCAACAAGGAGAATCTGTGGAATCAGAAACACAGCCTTAGTAAAGAAGTGAAAGCAGAAAGTATAATGAGCCATGATATGAACAGTGCTAAAAACCGTGGACAAGACAAAACTGGAGCGAACTTTAAGCTCTGGTAGATGCCAGATATTCCAAAAGTTTGTCCTGTGGTTAGGGGTTTAAAAGTCATTCAGTACACTGTCAAGAAGTGAGAGCCATTGTATGACAGCCTGGATTTACCAAGCCCAGCAGCAGAATCTGTAAAACCCTCAGTCCTCGGGGCTGTTACCCATGAGGACACTCAGAATGACCACATCCCACGGACCCTCCGGGGCAAATACACACTCTCACTGGGAGAAGTGGCTTTACAGAGACACAGGATTGCCCTCAGAATAGTTGTCACTCCAAGTGCTGAATTGTGTGAGTGGTGAGGCTGTGCCGGCGAGTCCGGGTGACGGCCAGCTAGCCCACCCAGCTACCCCAACACACGCGTGTGGGGGCAGGAGAGCCGGAAGGATCTATTGAAACATTGTCACTTAACATGATTCTGTTTTTATTTCTCCACAGAAAGTTCCCCCGTGCTGTCTGTGTGCGGGAAGAGACCATCTGCAGCACAGCTGCCCAGCACGTTTCTGTCTGAACTGCTGCTTGCCCGGGCACTATTTCAAGGAATGCCTGGAGAAAGCCTATTGGAACAAGCACTGCAACCGCTGCGACATGAAGGGCCACTATGCTGATGTGAGTATGGCCCTCGGCACAGAGAGCGGCTGTGGTTTGTTTTGTGTCTGTCAGAAATGGAATTTACAATGGCTACAATCTCCTTCTGTTTCTCTGCTTTTACATCGTGCCTATTTGTATAAGCACATGAAAATCCTTTAGTCCTTATACTATCAGAGTTTTCACAGAGAATGGTTCAAAGAAGACAGACCAAAGCATTGTCAACACTTGGTCTTTAGTTTGCTTCAGTTTAGCAGTGGTGGACAAAAATGTCCTTTTTCTCCAGGAATGAAATGTGCAGGGAGGTGGAAATCAGGAGACGCAGTATCTGCGAGTGTAGCAGGAAGATGTAAAAAGTAACTCTGATGCATCAGGGCTTCCAGACTTGTGGCTTCCTCACTATGATCAGATACTAATACGTAAAAATACTATTAGAGAGAAGTAGTTTGAAGGCTTTGAGTTTGACAAGATCTACTAAAGTAAAACATAGAATTAAAGGGAGAACAAATGTAGTTGTCTCTTTCTTTCATCTTGTATTACATTATTATGGTTTTTATGTCACCAAAATTCAGTCCCGTATGTAACAGTCAAGCTGTTATGATATTTTTTCTCTTTAATTAAATACAAGAAAGAATAAAAGGCAAACAGATAATTTTGGCATGCAGGCACATTTCAGTTTCCATCTATAGATACGGCCTATGTGTTTGTTTTTCAAATACACCTGTGGGATTCCATAAACACTGGATTTTTTGAAACTCAGAAATATTTTAATCTCTTTCTTAATCTCTACTTCCTGCCTTTATTTCTTCTGTTTGGTCAAAGAGCATGTCACAGTAGTACATAAGATGTGCAAAGGACAACCAGCATATTTGGGAGTTGCTATTTCTTATGATATATGAATGTGTTCCAGATGTATCCAGATTACAGCTAATGTGCCCACAATATGTTTAAAGAATATGAGTTGTACATTTCTGCACCCTAATTCTGATAGGCAGTGAGACAAAATTGCCATCTGCAATGAAGCATCTTTTCTTGGCCATCTTTTCTCCAGATTTTATGTCATCAATTCTCATTAACTTTTCTTTAAAGAATCATGAGTGCTCTATCATACAAGCATTTAAATCCTGCCTGAGCCATGCAGGTTATCAGGAATATCACAGCATTTTTTCTGCTCATTCTGCTCCACTTTAAATAAGAAAGGGTTTTTTTTTTGAAACTTTGGGCAGTTCTTGTTCACTCCTGCATGGGAAGTGTGAGGCTGCCTGTGTCATTCACCTGTGTGAATACTGGAGCATCAGAGCAGGAGCTCACCTGCCCAGTCCTCAGAGAGAGAGATGGCATGGCAGAGCAAAGGCAAAAGAGTCAAAACCAACAGTAAATCTTGCCTGAGATCACAGCAGAAAGCCTATGAAGCCAACAGATGATAAAGACATGAAAGGAACACTTGGACAGGACAAGGGTGCTGCTGATGGCCTAAAAAAGGGGTTTTTTTCATCTGGGATGTTCATAGCAGAAGGAGCCATAGCGGTGGCATGTTGGGATGGGTGTATAAATATAATATACATGGGGTGATTCAAGGCTGCTTTTGTAAAGGAAATCCTTCTCAGGCATCTCTGGAGTTCTTCAAAGGAGCAGGTTGACAAGCAAGTGCACAAACATGATCCAGTTAACATAGCCTACAAATTCCAAAGGGCATTTTACAAAATTCCTGACCAAAAGCTTTCAAGCAAGCTAAACAGGCATGGAGTAAGAGAATAAAGGTGGGATATGCTAGTGTGACATGGGAAGGGGTGAACAATGGGGTGACAAGATTTGCTGGGAAGACTGAATTACTTACAGAGTCAGTGCTGTGAGCCAGCTGTGCAGAACTGCCCAAGAACTATAAGAATCAGTGGGAGAACACAGTAAAATGGCAATTGAAATTGAGTGGCAAAAATTGTAAAGTAAAATAATCCCATTTTGGCATATGGAACAACAGGTTCTGCATATTACTGTTCAGGACTCAGATTCTAGTTAGGAGACATGATTCAAAAAAAAATCAGTTTAGTCTTCACAAACTGTAAAAAAAAAAAAAAAGCTGGTGAAATGGTAGGAGTCACCAGGAAAGCAGGAGCACCTGGGCACAGCTTTGGTCCCTGTCTTCTGTATCCCTCAGCATGGCCCACGGCTCCTCAGCCTCCAAAGGAGGTATCAGAGGGAAGGGTCTATCAAGAGCTTCAGAATCACCTGTCATTGTGAGACAGTGGTCAGGGATCACTTGTTCATCATTTCTTCCAGTACACCTGACAAAGGCAATAGAAGCCAGGCTGGGAAGAGACAGTCCAAGATGACTCTGTGTGGTCAGCAGCAGACCTGGAGGCACCTTACTAAGGGGGGCAGGTCTGCCCTGCTTCCAGAGGAAATGGGAGCAGTTCCTGGAAGAGAAATCAGAGAATCCTACAGCACCAGGCTGGAAGGGATTATGAATCATCTGATCATCATCCCCAACGTTTCTTGGCAAAAGCATTGTCTATACACAGGACAGCGCAGCCAAATCCCCAGAGTGTCCAGTTTTGGGGAATCCACCACTTTCCTCAAGAGATGATTGTTCTCATAGTGAGAAGTTTTCTCCTGTGTCCACCTAAGATCTCCCCAGGAGTGACTTGTAGCTATCACCCCTTGTCTTTCCCATGTGACTCCTTCTAAAAAAGGGAAATCCCCATCTTCTTGTTATCAAGCATACGTTATGAAATGCTTTGGATGCTCAAAAGAAGTTTAATTTGTCTTTCTCAGCAAGTTTACTCCCTTTACTGTAAGAAAGAGGGTGCAGAACAGGGTCTTGTGCACAGAGTCTGTCACTCAGATTTTCCACTTTGGTCCAGGAGTGAATGTGAGGCAGTTCAAGGTGCTTCACCTAGTTTGGTTAGGAAATATTCAGTTACTTAAAACATTTTAGGGTCATACGTTTATGATCTGCTAGATCTGTCTCTTCTCCTGAGACAGTGCTGAGAGCATACAGAGTCCTCTTAGCTGGAGGTGTACTGGAAGCAGACAAACCTCGCATGGTTTCCTTGGGAGGGTTATCAGAGGAGCTGCTCTTGACTGATTCAGTGGCAGTTTGGTGTATGTCATGAACCTTGTGGTTGGTGTTCAGCCTCACCTGCAGCAGGGGTGAGAGGAAGACTCCATCAACAGGGGATGTAGCAGGGAGCAAGCAGGCAGATCAGGCAATGTCTCCCTGTACACCTGGGAAAGCCAGCATGCGGATGCTTGTTGAGCTGGAGGGGCTCTCCCAGGAGCTGGCAGACAACAGTGCCCAGGTGCTTGGTGTCCTACAGCCACACTGTGTCTGATGGCCCCATCCAAATGCCCAAATATCCTTGTTGTCAGTGCTCCTTCCCATGAATCAGCTGGTTCTTCAACTGGCATCTTCTCTGTGTGTTCTGACAACTTTCTGGGCGTGCAAACCACCACTGGTCTCTTCTCCCCAGATGGGTTCCTTCTGACTTTGTTGCTTCTGGCATACTGCTGTGGGCTTGGATGGAGCTGGAGGTGCTGGGATCATTTCTCAGGGGGCAGCTGGTGTCCACGTGGCCCATTTCCCCTGGGCACAGAGGATGGTGTTTGCTCTTCTCCTGAGCTCCCCAGTGTCCTTCCCCACCCCTCACGCCTCTGGCCGTCCACATCCACCCAAGGGTGAGCATTGTGCTACCACCAGCCAGGGCGACACCAGCTCTGCCCGCCCGGCGCCAGCGCCGGTCTGCACTGCCAGCGTGGGGAGAGGTCTCGACATCTGCTTGTGCAGGAGTGGTTTTGAAGGGAAGCATTGTGTGTTTTCCGCGGCAGTTCCCATGTGGAGGTGATGAAAAGTGTGTGTTTTGGCAAATCTTTTGTTTTATTGTGGTGGCTTGCAGCGGGGCAGCTCCAAGCAGCCGCTGCCTCTTTGACAAAGCACCAGAGGATTCTGTTAAAAAGTTGTGTTTAGTAATTGTAGTCGTCGTGTCAGACCATAACTGACTCGGAGCTGAAGGATTTTTGCGAGATGAGTAGCTATGCCAGCAGGGACCCAAGTCTCCTGGGCCAGCCGCGCTCTCATTAAGATTTGCCGCTAGCCGTGGCGGTGTTCGGCAAGTATGTGACGTGCATGCTGTTATTGTATGCTTGGCTTGTCAGCCTGCAGCTTTCTGACACTCACTTATGTCACTCTTTATTCAGAGACGAAGAAGCTTTTGATAATTTGACAAGACAAGCTCTTAAACGATCTAGGTCATGGCCTTCACTGTCTGTGATTGTGAACATATTTCCTGAAAGCCCTGTCACTCATCACAGCTACATTTTCTCCCGGGGAGCCGCAGGCCCGTCCCGGTCTCCTGTCAGCGCGTGCATTTTGGTTATTCATACGCCAAATACAGTAGCGGGGTTTTCGCTCGCCTTTGGCCGGCGCTCGCATGTTAGCGGGGCTAATCCGCTCCCCGCCCGCGCCCCGCAGCGCCGCCGTCGAGAGCCCTCTCGGCGCGAGGCAGACGCCCGGCCGAGGGGAGCGGAAAGGAGGAAAGGCCGCTTAGTGCCGGTTTTGTGTTTGCTCATTGTTGTGGAAATATGAGAACTGGTGGCAAGGGCCTCGTCTATTGAGCTCTCGAGTCCCGGTCTGCTGTCAGGGGCTGTTTGAGATTGAGTGTTTTATTTTCTTTGATGTTCACATCGGAGAATAGGGAAGTGGGAATTAAACAACAGATGCATTAAGCCGTTGTTCTGGTAAAACAATAATTAGCAGCGGATAGAATTCAATATGGGTGAAAATGT